TATATATATATATAAGAAATGTCAAGCTTTGACAGGTCGTGCTTGACTCTACGCTATCAAAGAATGAAGAAGCGCGAGGTCAATGACATATTTGGTACGTTGTTTTCCAGCAGTGGCAGCCACTGGGCGATCTGATAACGCCAATGGCCTTTGCTCGTTACGCCCATAAAAAAGTTATGGGCACAGTGTGATTTACTTATGTCAGAAAAGCGTTCGTCGAATTTGATTGTTTCTCAGAGGGGCGAACTCTCAGACCCGAATGCTCTTACATTCTAGCGCCACAATATGATGCTCTGATGCTCAAGATATACGTGACACTCTATAGGCGTTCACCTGACAACCCCATGATGTTACAGATAGATTTGTTGCCTACGGCCCAACGGGATGTGGTCATGGAGAAAAAAATGCGTGTACGATTATCTAGAACCATTAAAGGAAACGAATCTGAGCCTAAGACCGTTTGGCGATACGAGTCAGTCATTTCCGGCGCTTAACTAGGACATATTAGGTGTTATTGATCGGTAATTATTGCATACTTAGAGAACACCGGCTATTAACAATTTTTATTTGAATTTCAGACGCTAGCCCGTATATGATCTTTTAAATTTTCCCCGTTGAGTTTTAACGATTGCGTGGAAAAATCTGGTTGGCAAAGTCCACCTGAAGCGCGACTAGCGCCTTTGAATCTATGCTGTCCCATCACTCTTGGTGTTACATCACGTTCAGCTAATGCCACCTATCCTTAAATGCCTCTCTACGTAGTTTTCCGCTCAAGTAACAACAACAGATTTTAGGAACCTTCAACAAGTATATGTTTGTGTATCAGTTAACAAGAGATGCATAATCAGTTCCTTTTCTCGTATTACCCTAGCCGTTAGGGATTGCCCCCAATAGATTGTAGCGGAGGCAAAACGGCAATTTGAAAAATAATGAGGTAGCGTTGTCTACAACAAGACGAGATGACAGAAAAGGCGGGGTTGTTTTTGTCTAGACAAAAACAGAACAGGCGCTCGCTATACATGGGCGACAGGTTGAACGAAAAGAACCGGACGTGGCCGGGTCGCCTGTTTCTATTAAACACCGCCCCAGCAGAAGTTGTAAGCCTCGCGTCGACATTAAATCATTGGGACACATAGAAAAGATCCGCATCTGCCGTTTCGAGGGCCAATATTCGTTCGACAAATGTGAGTTCGTTGCAGAGTGAGTGTATTCTATTGTGGAAAGGACCAGGCGTTCGAAAGGAACATATTTGCATTCATTGCCTATGTGCGCCGCTGCCTGGCACACCCTCACCTAAGAAAGTTACTTGCTCCGCCATACAGAGATTTACTCTTGGGAGATTCTAGAACGACGTTTCTAGTCTGTTCCAGACTGTTTCTAGATAATTTGAATGTCAGCTGTCGTCTTTCCGTTGTTGTTTTCATCCGACGACGATGGCGATGCCATACGTTTTTATAGACATGAAAACGCAAGCGATGGACATACGCCATTTGCTTGGTACATCTGCTTCCTGCCCCCCATAAGACGACCAGGAAAACAGACAGTTATTTACGTTCTAGGTAAATGCCAGGCAGACTTCTACTTGACTTTTTCGATGTGAACTAGCTGTCAGTGGGAATATGGCTAGCTACATGTACTAACTTATAGGGCAGACTTTTATCCGTATATATTCTAACACATACATATATCCATATGTTTATGAGATATGATAGAAAAAGGGAAACTAAGCAAACGAATTTACTATGAAGAATACAATTGCCCGAGGCTGGA